TGGTTGCACCCTTCCGGCAAGGTCTCTCCATTTCTGAGCATACTCTTTAAATCCTTCACCCGTCCCTATTGACATACCCTGGAGTTGGGTACGCGTAGGAGCGAGGTCGGAGTTATACTGGTACTGCCTATAGAACGCAGTAGCCAAATCTTCCCAGTTACGAATACTGGCTCCATCCAGCTGATAGAACCACTCAAGCTGAGTCCCTGAAAGATTGTCTTGAAAGAAATGGATCCACAAATTCTTATCAGCGGTGTAAGGTTAGATCTTCCTTACATAAGACCGGAGGTGCAGCTTTGGACAGGAAGCTCCATCATACTTGGCAAATACAGGTGCCTTGAATTTATGGGGGATCACCACCCCAGAGGATAGACCTAGGTCTCCGAAGTCCAGCCCGGGCACGTTCTGTATCTCCATAGCGCTCAAGCGGTCCTCCAACTGTTTGTACTTATCCTCAGCAGGAGGATACTGTTCTTCATCACAGTCCGTCTCGTTGTCAGAGACCATAGGGCTAGGAGCCCTCCTTTCTTGTGGGCTGTCTTTCCCTCCAGATGAGGTGGTCAGATCAACTTCATTTTGCAGCCCGTTTCCAAACCTGCGTCCGGTGTTGAACAGGACGGTCCTCTTCTTCTTCTTCTTCCTCTCTTTCAGAATCAGGGTCTTCAAATCCTGTTGACCCTTGGCTAGGCTCATAACCAACTCTTGGAACTGGGCGTTCTGGGCCTGGAGGGCCTTGATAGCTTGCTCAGTGGAAGGTTCAGTAGACATGATGATTGCTGAAATAAATAGCGAAGAGGATAAGAGACCTGTAATGGTACCTGTAATGCAATGATATGTATGATATATGTATGCAATGTTTTCAAGGATCTCGTGGGGTAAACAAAGAAACTTGTTAGAATTTGAATTTTGCAGCTTGATTGAAGGAACTTCATGTTGCTGAGAGTCCTTCTTCAAAAGTCAGGCTCACCATATCGAGTGGGTCATAGCCCCTGACTCAAGTTAACATGTTTTGATCTCCAAACGACCTTGGCTAGAGGAAAATAAATCCCCTTTGCCCCTTGCTAGACATTTGGTTCATCATGACCTGCATCACAAACCTTTAAGATCCTTGAAATGGTTAAGGAAATGTTAAGGTATGATGTTATGATGCGTATGATATGCGTTTAAGCAAAAGTGTGAGGTGTTGTAAGTAAGCCCTGCAATAAATCCAAATTGTTGGATAAGGACTGTAAACAAAACCTGCAAGGAACTCATGATGTCAGATAACAAGAATGTGCAAGTAGTTCAAGTTTGAAGGCACACAAGTCACACAAAGAGCCCTTAGATTTTAGGCTAGCATGGAGTTTAGGTATTACCCTCTTGAAGTTAGTGGGCTCAAAACCTGTCCTATAAATAGTAACCGGGTTCTAGAGGATCTCAATATCACTGACTACCCTCAATCGGTCATAATTCCAGTTTGGCAACCTTTTCTTGCAGCCGGAACCATCGCGAGAGTTTAGTCTCAATGAGTGTAGCATACTGCTACTGTTCTATGGCCAAGTTGGTTAATTTAAGGTTCTAAGGTCAGTTTGTGCTTAATGACTCCTCAGAAGACCCATATTCTCCTCGTTCCAACACAAGGGATATCGGTACGACCAATGTGTCACACCAACGTAGCTACTGCTTCATCCGTGTCGGTCTACGCCGGACAGATTCCTCACAGTTTATTGCTACTTACCTAAAAAAGGGTACCCCAGATCCGGGTTAGGATCTATAGAACTCCGATACAAGCCCGCAAAATTAAAGCATACAAAGCATACAATTGAAAACACAAGCGATCTAATCCTAAGGTACACCTCACTTATCAAATTCCCCAGCAGAGTCGCCAGTTCTGTGATCGGTGGGAATGATAACTGACTGTTTTGGAATGCTGGTTCGCGTTTGCGTTTGTTTTTGCAAAATGTCGCGGTAAGCAAGAGTCGCCACCGTCTTTTATTTTATCCAACAAGGAAAGGGAAAAAGCACAGAAAAATTCCTTTTTGAGATGTTTCTCGGGTTCGGGAGGTAGATTATAGAAAGGGAAGGTGTTAGCACCCTTTCTATCCGTGGTTATCCACGGGCTCTTAGGTACTTGCTCAATATGATCATATGACCATGTTCTTGGACATTTTGGAAAGCCCTTGAAGTCCTCTAACCAATGCTTTTGTTCCCATGTCATTTGGATTTACCAATCTCAAGTTATGACCCTTGACTCAAAGTGTACTTTTGTTGACTTTTGAAATTGACCTATAATGTAAAAATTTGTAACTTTTTGTGAGAGCATTTCTTGATCTTGGGGTGTGAAGATGGATTGTAGGAAATTGCATCCTCTTCAAAATGAGCTTTGGATGGAATTTTTCTGATAAACCATGAAAGAGTTATGCCCTTGTCAAAGTACAGTTGACTTTTCTGCTGTCCAAAAATAGTAACTTTTGCATCTTGATGATTCTTGAGCAATCCTTGATGAATCATGATCAACCCTTGATCAAATGATGAATTATCCTTCAAAATGAGAATGTTGACAAAAAATCCTGAGGTTTGACTGTATTTGGGACACAGTTGACTTTTGCCCTAGCACAGTCGATTTTTGGGCCTCTTGAGCAATTGACTGACCAAACTTCCTCTACAAGGCTTGAAATTTGACATGGATGTACTTAAGAACATATTAAGACATTGGGAAGCACTTGAGGCCATTTGTATGTAAGGATCTTGATGCAACACAAAACCCTAATTTTGAATTGACTGCCTTAAGAGGTGATTTGACTGTACAACCCTTGAGCAATCTTGAGCAATATGAAGATCATTCTTGACAAATCTTAAGGAATATGGGAGGGAAAATTTTGGAGTACAACATTGTGTCATATCTAAGAAGATGAAATTTGATTACCTGATACATATGGACGAGGTCTCTAGTCATTGGAAGAGCCTCAGTTTTGAAAATGACGGTAAAATAAAAGACGATAAACCAAGTATTTCCATCTTTGCTGAATGGGAAGCGATACAAGAAAGATTTTTGAAAGTCGATGATGCCACCAAACTCCACATCAAAGATAAACTGAGGAAGATTACGTTTCCGGAGACCACAGACTTGAAACCATCATCTCAACCCGTAAAAACTAAAGGGGCACCTAAGAAGGTGAAACCGACATCGGGTGATAGTTCAACTACGACGAGTCCTTCATATTTTGAACACATTGACAAAAAAATTCCCGATTCACCTACTCTGAAATCTCAGAAAAAGTGCTTTCAAAGGTTTCTGTATTAGCAAATCACCTCTTACACCGACTCCACCGAAAATACCATTCATCAATCACATGCCATTTTTTATGCACAAGTACATTGAACGGATCGTCAATGTTGAGGGTGACGGTAAATGTGGTTTTCGAGTTGTTTCTAGTTTGCTCAGTAAAGGGTAAAAGGCTCACAAACTTGTTCATGATACTATTATCAGAGAGTTGAGGAGCAATAGAAATTTATACACACTTATGTTCGGGAGTAAAGAGAAAGTTGAAGATATCTATAACGCTCTTGTACCTTGTGTGAGTGGATTTGCAACAGAGGATAAATGGACGTGCCCTTGAAATGGGTCATCTAATAGCAAGTGCGTATGAGAGGGTGTGTATTAATCTTACAAGATACGGTTTCTCAGAGACTTATTTTCTTTTGTGCACTTCTACAACACCAAATCCTAATGATTGTATCATATGTGTTGGGTGGATTTCAAATTTGCGGCATTTTATTCAAGTTTATTTGAAATCGGGATGCCATAAACCACCTACATCACCGGAGTGGGCAAATCATTTCACAATCCCATCTGAGACCTGGCCAGACCAATTCCTTGAAAGGGTGCAATAATACAACAAGTCGAACAAAATTAAAATAGAAAAAAATAGAGAAATGTCAAAAGGGGTGCCAACGGTGGATTTGGCCGGCGACAATCTTTTTGGCTCATTTAAGTAGTTAGATATCATTTTATTATAAATGTCATTTTGTTCATGTATTATGTTGTGGAAATATAGCCATTTTGTAGTTTGACCAAAATACAATATATGAATACATGAGGTTTTTTTGAAGGAGTTGTTGTTTCTATTCTGTTTCTGGTTTTTCACTCCCAGAAGACTAACCAGAAATATATTTCCGATTCCATTTTTATATAAAACCAGAAGTGGAATTCTGGTTTCAAATCTGACATAGGGATATGATTTGTATGGTTCATGTTTGCCTCAAACTACTATAAATAACCTCACTTGTCATATTATTTTATACCACAATACCAAAAACCAGAAATGAACATCAAAATGAACATCAAATGACATGTTGGAGTTGTCTACTTTACCGACACTACACCATCACGCGAATTTAACGTCACCAAGTACACCCCAATTGAAGATGTGAGTGAAATATTACAGAAACTTGTATCTTATGGCAACAATCACAAAGTTGTGAAGATCGAGTACCGCTCACCATCTGTTGACAATGGAAAGCTTGTGTTCATCAACTGTAAACTGAAAAACGACAATGATCTACGAACTATGTAGATACTTTTACCAGTTTTAAGGAGAAAGTTCTGATCGAGTTAAATGCGACCATTTCAAAATCGGTCGATGCTATTATCATGATTAATGTTAAAATCTTTAATATATTTTCTATATTTATATTATGAATTATATTTTAAATTTGTCATATTGATGTTATTCAATAATATTTTTCTGATTTCTGTATAACACAAAATCAAAAATATTCTCCGAGTTAAAACCAGAAATTAAATTCCAATGTATAGTTTATCTCCTATAAAAAATATACTAATACATCCATAGATCATGGTTACTTGTTATCCCACATTTTCACTTTGTTACAATAATCGGTTTGACAAAAAAAACAACTAATAGGAAACTTCTTAATTTTAACTAGAAATCAAATCTACAATTTCTTACAAAAAGAAAGAACAAGACAACAAGTACAACAACAAAAATAGTACATTGCTATAGTACAGAAAGTTGAGTTTCTTGATCTTGAACTTCTTCATCGATTTGATGAAATTCCCTAATTGAATGCCGTTTTCTACACTCACAATAAAAAACCGTCATTATCACGTAACTACATAGCACCACCAATCCATAACAAACTATTACAACTGCTTCATCTTCAAACGAATCCTCACCGTCTATCCTCGACCCGATCAAACTCGAAACCCACATAAATAAACCCGAAAGAACCCACCCGCAAACCCGGTTCCCTTCCATTAAACCGGATCCTGTTCTAATAGCATCCCATCCGAATCTCTCTTCGGCCACGGACACCACCAGACCGACGCCCAACACCGCCATTAAGTAAACCTCGAGACCCGACCCGATAAAGAAGACGAAAGTATTCGACCCGAGTGCGGTTGAGAAGAGAGGCAAAGAGGAAAACACAAAGAGGATGGCGTAGACAAAGATGGAAGTTACGAGGAGTCGCATGATGTTGGGTTTGAAGGAGGCGACGGCCGAGTGGAGTGTCGGGGTGATACCATGGGCGGCGAGGAGAGAGGAGTGTACGGCGGAGAGAGTGGAGATGAGGGAGATGATGTAAGAAGGGAAAGAGAAAAGGGCTTTAACACGGATGAGAAAAACAGCATCTTTTCGAGATTCATGCTTAACATGGCGAGCTTCGAATTGGGTTGAAGCGAAGTGAGACAAGGCTTCGAGGTGGCGGATTTGAGAGGTGAGTGGTTGTGTGAAGATGGATTGGTGGATAGTGAGGGTTGAGAGAGGGAGGATGGTGAAGATGAAGAGGGTTGTGAAGAGGAGTTTGTTGTTGGATAGAAGGGTGAGCGAAGTGAAGAGAATCTTGAATGGGGAGAAGCAGCGCCAGATGGTGGCGGCGGTGAACATTCTCAGTTAGGATGGTGTCGGTGGATCATGGAAGAGGAAGAGGAAGAAGATATCCGATGGTGTTTAGGTTTCGATCTTGTTGAGGAAAGTAAAGGTGTAGTAGTGGTGGTGGGGAAATATAATTTTTGTTTTTCATAAATATAATTTTTTTTATATATAAAAATATGTTTTTCATACGTAAATATCACTTGTTTAGACATAAATAAAAAATACGTAAAAAATTTTTTCTTAGGTTACTATTTGTTCTTATATAAGAAATTTTACTAATGTTCTAGGAATTTTCCTTGAAATTTTAGGTTACAGAATCACTTGGATTTGGAATTCCAACATCATTAATTCTTTGATAATTTGAACTCTAATTTTCTATAATAGTCTCTCAGATAAAAAACTAAATCATATGCTTCTCAAACAAAGATGTGACCTTAGGCAGTTCCCTGTCTCAGCTGGTTGTCTATATTCTTATTTTATTCAAGTTTAACTTGTAGACATACATGATAATGGATCTCAATAAATTCTCGTTCTTGTAATCATAACATTCTTTTCGTATAAAAGTTTGGGTTCAATTTGCAATGTTGATTTCGGCAGTTTAATTATGTATCAAATTTTACTTTAAAAGTTATCATATATATATCAAACTACATTCACACATTTCCAAATATCACTAATGAGAAGAGGTATGTCATAGTTACATCTTCACTCATGGACTTGCTCTTTCCGGTATCTGTCGGTTGTTTATTACTTATTAAGACCCTGTAGTTCTCCATACCTAAAAGGACGACAACTATTTATGAATAAACCAATAATACGGATCCGTGATATTTTTAGCCTTGTATATAAAGTTATCAATGTAACATGATGTGAAAACATCACCAAGAAATGACTGCTACTAATACAAGCCATATTTGTGGCCAAGAGAATTGTGACATGGGATGCTAGTGGCAACAACTTCAACGACTTTTTGTTGATTCTCAAGAGTTCAATGGCATAAAAAACTATAAGAGAGTCTATGTGGAGGAAAAAAAGAAGCTAAATAATACTTTTCAACTCTTAAAGTCACTTGCATTGTATACTTGAAAGCAACAGTCATTTGAAATGCCAGCATGAAGTCATTGTAGTCTTTGGATCCCATATTGCTCGAAAATCCAAAATATTTTCCATGAAGAGATTTGAACTCGAAAAAGATAAGAAATTAAGAAAACTGTAAAGGGAGTAGAAAACATGAGTGTAGATACTTCATTGGGGGTTATAATCTTATCATAAGGCCTGGTACCTCATTGCTAGCAGGCCATATACAGTGCTTGATGCATCCAACAACTGTTGCTCCATTTTTTATTTCCATTTGAATAAATCCATAAACATCTCCTACATAAAAATAGTGAATCATGAATACATTGATGAGGAAAAAAAGATTTGAAATAAGTGTCATGTATACACTCTATCAGCATCACCTAAAACATCATCAGTGAGTTGTCAATGTCTGCCTTTGAATTAACAGTTGTAGAAGAATCTTATACTACCTCTTCTTGTTAGTGGGTTCTTCAATGTGGCACCTAAGAAGGAAAAAAAATTGAACATGATAAAATTATAGGAAAGCAGCACGCTAGCACAATATATACATACAAACACTCAAAATTTACATTTGTGTTTGACCAGTGGTCCATTGAACCTAGAATTCACTGTTATTCACAAACTCGCCTTTATTCATGAACTCTCACCTTCTTCTATCGTAGATCTCAATTTCTTCTTCCCCAAACTCACCCTTTTATAAAAAAATAGGAGAAGGAAATACTAAAAATAAAAGAAAAAGGTGAACTAAAAACAACAAGGAATTTTATGGGGAGAATTTAGAAATTTTATTTTTATAATAGTGAACTGGGAAAATTTATTTCGTCTTGTAAAGGGAATCCATAAAATGGGGGAGAAACAACGCTAGATGGTAGCGGCGTTGAACATTTTTAGTGAGGTTAGTGTCGACGGATCATGGAGGAGGAAGATGGATAGTGTTTAAGTTTCGATCTTGTTGAGGAAAGTGAATGTGTAGTAGTGGATGGTGGGGTGGGGAAAATAAATAAATTAAATAATATTATAAAATGTATGTTTATTTCGGTTTTTGTGGTTTTCTTCTCTATTTAGTTGGGTTTTAATTAAGGATTTAATTTCCTTCACAAAAGAATTAAAAATTCAATAATATATGTTATTACATGGGTTTAAACTTTGTTTAGAAATTTAGAAGGTAAAGGAAAAACCCAATGCAAAGACCTTTAATAAGTGCCTTTGATTGTAGTAAATTCTTAGATTTTTATTCATTGAAGTTCTTTATTTTATATTAAAAAAAGGAAATCCTGAAGAAAAAAAAGGGTGAACTTAAAAAAGAACAAGTAATTTTATGGGGAGAACTTAGAAGTTTTACTTTTATATTCTTGAACTCAGATAATTTATTTGGTCTTGAAAAGGAATGATCCATGATATAATGGTCTATGGTAGAAGAAAATTAGGTGAGAATGCCAAGAAGATGCTTAGCAGTCCAAAAAGGGCTGGTTGTCAGAAATGGGATTGGACTTATAAAATGAATTTTCCGTCCTGAGCGTAGGCTTTAGACATGACATCCAAGATCTACCTCACTAATCTATGTGGTTTGTGAGATGTTTAAGGAATAACAGTCAAGTGAAGTTGGTCAAGAGAGAAACCATTTTCTCCACAATTTAATGGAGAGCCAGTTTTTTCCACTCCCATGTTTCTGCTGAGAAATTTGAGAAACCATTTCTAATCGGGCCCATGAAATATGTAGTGTTATATTTGTGAGTATCCTTAATAAAGGCGCCCTCACCCAAGTGTGGTGTCGTTTATGTGATGTCCTCGTCAGAACAAATGGCCCGCCCTTAACACTAATGACGTGTGAAATGTTGTTAGTAAAAAAAATAGAGTCCACTACTACCCCCTGAAGATTAGGTGGTCAAACAATTTCCCCTGATCACGAGGGAGCGGTTGCCTCCCCTAAAGGTTACCAAATCCTAGGCCCAATAGGCCTTTATAAATACTTATCCCCCCATAGAGGGAATAAGACAGATCTTAACTCGTCCTGATCACACCCCTCGTACGCTTATAACTAAGCACACTATTAAAAATAGAGTCCCTCACCTCACGTGAGAGGACCCCTAAACCACCATATAAGGCTTTTCGCCACCGTGGACAAGACCTAATCACCATATAATGTAATACACCTACTAAGGCCATTTATTCCCCTTGCCCTTGCAGGAGGAACATGCACATCAGTACTTTTTGACCAATACATTTCATTGTCAGCCGTCACAAAAAAATGTCCACAACTAGCTTGTTCAACATACGCCAGGTTCCATCAGAGTCATTGAGGGACTACCTCGCCAGATTTAACGAAGCCACCATCAAATAAGTCTAGCCAAACCAAGAAATGTTTGTGGGGCATTTCAAAATGGACTCAAGGCGGGACACTTTAACGAGTCTCTCGCCCATAAGCCAATATTTTTGCTGGCAGAGGTGGTCACATGAGCAGAGTGCTACATAAAGGGCGAGGAGAGCAATATCGAAAATAAGACGTGCAAGGTCAAGGAGTGTGTTCCCAATGTCGAGTATTCCCACCAAAAAGGAAGAAGAATTATACCCTCCCCCCCATAAAGGACAATACTACATTCAAGAGAGTTGGCAAGGCGACAAAGACTTCACTCGCTTGAATACCCACCGTGAGCAGATATGGCGCGAGGTTCTTCACGTGCACAACATCTCTATGTTGCCTGCTCCAAAGGAAGGTATAATGGGTCCTGAACTGAGAAGATTGTGCAAGTTCCTTGGAGTCAATGGACACCACACTAAAGATTTCAACTGTTGTAACTGGTTTTAAAATAAGAGTTGCCGCCTTAATTTTTATCCTATGGAAGGGAATATAAAGGATAACCCTAATTTGATCATAGATTCTAAGTTGTTGACTCATTTTAGATGAAGGAAATGTGTTAGGCACCCCCTCATCTACCTTATTCACAAGGATACTAGGGTTTAGATTTAAGATTTAGGAATAGGGTTTTAATTTTTTGGTTAGGGGAAAAGGGTTTTAGTCTTTTAATTAGGGGAAAAGGGTTTTAGTCTTTTAATTAGGGGAACTCGCCACGATTTTAGTCGTATGCCTATGTATACTCTTATGAGGAATCGAAGTCCTAATTCGTAGTTCATAGTTGTTGGTTGGTAATTTTTATGGATTACGAAGATATTTTGAATTCTCCTTGAACCAAGTATGGGTTTGTAAATCGCAGAGTTGTTAGACAAAGTTCGCAGATAATGAGAAATATCTCCATAATTCCTTTTGAAAATATAATTTGAATTAGGTTAATGGAAAATTGTTAATATTTGATTGGTTAGATATTTTTTAATATCTTAATATATAAAAAAAAATCTTTTTAATGCATGAGAAAAAATGGTTTTAATGCAATTAAAAAAAGTTTAAATGGGTTAGTAAAAATAAATATTAAAAAATAAATAAATTTAGAATTTATTATAAATATATTATTAAAATAAAAAATGGAGAGAAAATAAATAAAAGAATAAACAAATAAAATAAATTAATTAATAACTTAATATTAATTATTAAGCGCATGGGTGTATTTTTAGTTTATTAGTAAAAGGCTAGGGGTGTGAAGAGTAATGCATAGAATTATAGGATTAATAAAAATGTATAACTCAAAGCCCAATCCAATGTTAAGAAAATCTAACTTTTACTAATTGTTGGCTGAAGATTTTGATATTATGATTCGAAATAAAAATGATTGGGCTTTGTTTGAATAAAACAAGTTTGATGATTTAGAATGGAAGAGAATGTTTGTTTCGAATGGAAATATTAAAGTTCAAGGTTTCAAATGGTAGTTGTGGAGTGTAAGTTTAAAGCCTTGTTCGAAATACTGACAAAACTATCTTTGTGAGGGTTTGTTTTTGAAACAAATTCGAAAGGAAGGTACCAAGGCGTTTGAAATTCAAACGTGAGCGGGATATTGGAAATTCAAGATACATAAGCATTGGGACGTTCGAGGACGCGTGGAGGCCAGAGGGAAGTAATGCTCTGCATGCTTCAAACGTGGCAGATTCTGATAGCAAGACCGTTATGGTCGAAGTAGTATAAATAGAGGTCTTAGTATTAGGATTTCGTGTGTCATATCTGTTGTACAAATCCAATAAACATTCAAAATACGACATGGATAGGGAAACGAATGCTCGAAAGATGTACGTATGATAACACCAACATTTACAATTCAATGAAAACTCTTTACATTTTCCAGTTTTGTCTTTCATTTCCGTTTCATTTGTGCTTCAGCCATTTTACGTTTCTTGCCTTTACATTAAAGCCTTTATATTCGAAGTCATTTATGCCTTTCTGCATTTAAATACTTTTCTTATGTTCGAACCCTCTAAACATTTAGTAACTTTTGCATCCACTCGCTTAATCCTGCCATTTACCCAATTTTAAGTCTTTAAACTTTTTTTCATGAACATTCCTAATGCCATATAGAAATTATCCTTCGAACCATTCAGTATAGTAATCGAAGTGGATTGGATATCTTAGAAACGATTCTAATTTGAGGTCCTGAATATGAATACCAGTTTTACAATTAGACTTAACCAAACAACTATGCTCCATAGGATCAATCTAGTCGATCCTGCAAGTTACCAGAGAAATTGAATAACAGTCATTAAGTTTATTCGATAGTTTGGAAGACTAGCGGTTGTTCACCAGAAATCACTGTGAACAAATTGGCACACCCGATGGGACGAGTTGTTAAGAAAGTTGAAAGTAAAGATTTTTAGGATATAATCTTGTTGTGTAAGTTCTTCTCTGAATATCGATTTCGCTGTTATATGAACCTTAGAAGTGGTAAGACAACTAATAGTAACCAACCCTTACCCAGAAGAAAACGTAGTAGTAGGATGTCTAATCCAGGCAATCAACAAGGGGAACAAATTGCCTCACATGGAACAGGCACCAACACGTCTGTTTCGACGGGGACGTCTAACGCGATCCCTACGAACGCACAGTCTGTTGCATCTTCTACCAGTAGTGTGGCCACAAATGGAGCAAGTGGCATGACAACCAACAGTTCGATCCTGGGAAATACGGGGACCACTGGTTATCTTGCGGGATTTGTCCCACCATCAGGGACACAAACCCATTTCGCCACCCCACAAACTAGACCACCCGGTTTCGATGGCAACAGACACATAAATCCCTCTTATGGGATGCCAACATCTTTTATGGCAGGTTTGCACAATTCCACATCAAATTCGTCACCACAATTTGGATCCGAATCTAGGGCCAACCAATTTATGACAAATACCCAAGGATCAGTGGGTCACAATACATTGCCTATCTTAACCACAGAAAATCAGATGGCCTTTAGACAATTAATGGATGATAGTAACCATAATATGATAGGGGTGTTAGCACAGACTATGCAAGAAATCTTTGCCCCAATAGTACAAAACGTAACTGTAACCAACAGAGAAAACGCGGACAACATGAGTCGAATAGCAGATTTTTTCACTCCGCCAGAAAGGCGTAGGCAGAATCAGGCGGGGGTTCGAGCGAACATACCCAACATAGAACAAATTGCTGATGACCCACCCTATAGACCAGCCAGAGAGGGGGTTAACTTGGGGGCAAGGGCGCAAAGGTTAGAAGCCCCAGTGATTCGAGAGGAACCACGAAGGGGAGTTATAGAACCAGAGGCAAGGGTCTAAAGGTTAGAGGTCCCAGAGTTTCGAGAAGAACAACCTAGAGGAGTTGTCATGGTGGGTCGACACCAAGATGCTGATGAAGTCGTTCATAGAATTCGAAATGACAACATCTTGGCAGAAAATAATTTAACCACCACTACAAGAAAAAAAGAGATTTACGACACATAAATTGCGACAGTTCCCACAAAACCGTCCTTATTCCTGAATTGCGACAGTTGTCACGACGGTTAGGCTCAACCGTCGTAGATTTTCAAGCATTATGAGTAACATAATTGCGACAGTTACCAAAAAACCGCCCTCTTTTCACATCTGCGACAATTAGGTGAACTGTCGTAACTACATTAGCCAATCATAATCGCTACTTTTTTTTATTCTTTTACTTTCCCACTTTTTTTCTTTCATTTCCCCTTCTTTTTCTCTTTTATTAATAATAATAATAATAATAATAATAATAATAATAAAATAAATTACCAACAAAATAAATTTTCACACCCATCAATATTATTTTAAGATTTTCATAATTTTATTTATTAAATTACAATTTCCTTTATATTTTTCTTCTTTATTACGATTTCACTTCTTTTCTCAAATTTAAGCATTATTTTTATTTCATATTTTTTTATTTAATAAAACAAATAATAAAATAAAAAAGAAAAGAAAAAAACAAATTTTTCGTTTGATGAAATAGAGCTAGGGTTAAGAAGTTGTTTCATCTTCTTCTTAAAACACGACTTCCTCTCCTTCTCAAAATCGCGGCCGCTCTCACCACTGCTTATTCTGTTCCGGCGTTGTCTCTGTCACCTTGCTCCGTTCATCACAGCTTCAGTCTGCCTTCGACAATCAACAGAAACGCTTCTCCGATCTCTTCTCTCGAATCTCTCTGTTAATGCCTCCGATTCCGTCTATCATCTTCGCTTCGAGCCTTCGTCAACTCCTCCATCGCTCTGTCAAAGTTCAACCATCTTTCTCTCTTCGCCTATTCAAATCGATGATGAGCCACTACGCAACGCCTCCACACGCCCTCAGAATCTTTCAATCTCTGCTCATCTCGCTCAATTCGTCCATCTCGATCTCGCGTCATCCTCTGTCGTCTTGATTCAAATTCCGATGACCTCACTATGTCAACACTGTATTGTGAATAACATCTCAGGCTTCATCAACAAACTTCATTCATCCACTGTCTCAAGCTTCAACGTTTCTCTTTTGACAAACCTTCGCTGCACGGTTCCACTTCTATTCGAATGCGTTCGTGATTTGGTCGCTCTTCTCAATGTTTCAATCTCAGGTTTCAATTACCTCCGTGATTTTTCTTTAGCAATCATTTCATCATATCATAAATTTAGATCGAAAAGAGTTTGAAACAACAAAACACTTTTGCTACTTTAAATCTCAAAATTCCGATTAAACGCGGAGGTAATGACAAATAGAGAATCGAAATTACCCGTCAGAGCAGCTCCGAAGGCTCTTCAAATTGATGAAGATGGTGAGAAAATCAGATAGCAATCTCTTCAGAAACTTAGGTACAAATACCTCACTTTCTCACTTTGAATTCACATTTCATTGGTAATTCATCTTCTTCAAATCTCTTCCACGAATTTGCTTCTTGTTTTTACTACAGTGTTATATGGAATTATTGTCCTGTGTGATTTGAAAATCATTGAACATGATGATGATGCAGTTTTGATGAAGTATGCGTGATGTTGATTATCGTTGTTGAGAAGCCGATTCGGACTTGTTGATGAAAATGATTTTGTGTAGAGAAGCAGTTAGAGAGTGAGTTTTGGAGAGATGAAGTTCTGAGAAGAGTTTCGGATGTGTGCAGAACGAATTGTTGAAGTTTTAGAAGTGAAATCGTTGAAGACTCATAGAAGATTCTTAAAGCTACATAAGATGAAAAGTTGAAGGTACCTCTCCAAACCCTAACCGCACCAATTGGGTCAAATGCGATGAAGACAGTAAGTTGAAGCGCAATTCATGACGAGGGCATGGCTTAGGCTAAAAAAATGTACACGGCTTGTTAAAAGACTCGTCAGAATTAAGTGGCTATGAACTTTCCGGTGGGATTACCCAGATTTCAGCGAGGTCTCACTGATTCTGGCAGCTTCAAAAGGTAATCTTTTAAATTGTGATGGCCTTGTTTCTTTCTCTAATCTTCTCCTTCTTCTTTCTTTTTGAATTCTCGAGACTTTGCTTTTCTTTTTTGATGTTCTTTGTTGCTTCTGTGTGTTCTTCTGTATGATTGTAATTGCTCTGCTTATTTTCCTTTTCTTTGTTGTATTTCTGTTGTGTGTACTAATTGAGTGAGAGCTGAAAGAATGATGATGATAATTGAGAATGAGTACGAGAGTTACATGGTGTTGTGTGATTCAGAGAATTGTTGTTGAATCATGAACTGAGAGGGTAGTGATATGTTGCAAGGTGGTGGGGGTTGATAGTTTCAGGTCCTCTTAGTTATCGGAATGTTTCAAATATTATTCTACTCATTTCAAATTTTGTACAATTTATTTGGATGATGTTTCTACATTGTACTTGTGGTTACACTGCGAGCTTATGAAAACTAATGTGGATGATGTTGCTGCATTTGCGGTTGTGATATTGTTCAAGGACATGTGAAACCTTTATATTGTGAAAGAAATTAGGAGTTGAATACATAACTCAGTTGAAAAGTTTCTAGAAGTTAGAAGTTTGTTTAAACTTGCCCTAAGATATTGCCTATGTTTTGTGTGAATCTTGCAGGCTGCTAGGTATGCGTAGCTTGGACCAAATGGTAGTCAAGGAAGGATCATGGTCCTAGCATGGAAGTTTAACACAAAATCACTTAACACTAAGGACTTTCATGAATTTTGTAGAATATTGTAACATTTTTTGTAATTCTCTCAAGTTGTAGCAAACCAATGTAAATATTAAAATGAAATTTGGCCTTTGATGATATTTGAATTTTTCTTGTTTATTGGTAAAATTTGCACTTCTTTTTACCTTTGATCACATTTTTTTGATATTATTGATGATTATTTGATATTAAATGTTTTTATTGTAATTAACTTTATTATGTTGAAAAGTGATAGAAAATAAAAATACTATAAATAAAAAAATATTAAAGTAAATAATAATTTAAATATAATAGTAAAATATTATAGTAAAATAATATTATATTTAAAATTATTTTACTAAATAATAATTTAAATAAAAATATTATTTGAAAATTATAAATCAGATTACGACGGTTAAAACCGCCACAATTTCTAACCTACGGCGGTAGAATAACCGTCGCAAACAACAACAAAAACAAAAAATAAAGTCAAATTCACGACGGTATATAACCGTCGCTATCTGTTGTGCGTGACAGTTTTTGCAACCGTCGCGAAATAGGCTGGGGACGCACGATTCTGCGACGGTACTTCTACCGTCGTAGATTGTAAATTGCGACGGTTTTAACCGTCGTAATCAGCCAAAATAACCGTCCCAATCTATCATTTTTCTTGTAGTGCACCATGATAGAAAGGATTATGGCTCAAAACAGTCTCAATACAGGAATTAGAAGGCCAAACTATTCCTCTCCCATAGTAGATTATGTGATGCACACTAATTTACCAAGGGGATATAAAGTCCCTAAATTTACAAAGTTCGCTGGAGACACCAATGAGTCAACAGTCGAACACATAGCCAGGTATCTGACCAAAGCGAGAGATATAGCAAATAATGAGAACCTTAGGATTAAATATTTCCCAAGTTCCCTAACTAAGAACGCTTTCACATGGTTCACCACATTGCCTCCTGGATCCATAGATACTTGGACTCTTTTGGAGAGGTTATTTCATGAACAATTCTACATGGGACAATCTAAAATAAGTCTGAAAGAGCTAGCCAGTGTCAAGAGGAAGTTTACTGAACCCATAGATGATTATCTGAATAGGTTCAGACTCTTGAAGTCTAGATGTTTCACAGTAGTTCCTGAACATGAGTTAGTCGAAATGGCTGCTGGTGGCCTAGACTATTCCATTCGAAAGAAACTAGATACACAACACTTAAGGGATATGGCCCAATTAGTGGACAGGGTTCGACAAGTCGAAAGACTAAAGGCCGAGAAGGCTAGGGTTTTTAAAAATAGCAAGAAAGAAAGGGTTTCCTATGTCGGAACTGAGGAAGCAGAAGATTATCCTGAATTCGAAGAGGTCGAAATTGATCTCGCTGAATTGAAACAGGCTCCACCTTATTCCTGTAAATTACTAGTTCCCACAAAAGGGAAAGAAATTATTGAAAATGAGAAGAGTGACAAGTTCCCAAAGAAGGTTTATACCTTCGACGTAACAAAATGTGATGAAATTTTTGATTTGCTTGTCAAAGATGGCCAACTAATAGTGCCATCGAATGTCAAATTACCACCTTTAGATCAAAGAAAGAAAAGAGGATTTTGTAAGTATCACAGTTTCTTAGGCCACAAAACCTCACAATGTTTTCTTTTCAGGGATCTGATTCAAAATGCGATCAAGGATGGTAGATTAAGGTTCACTGACAAGCCAAAGATGAAGGTGGATGATGACCCTTTAGATGTTGTCGACACCAATTACTCTGAACCTGCATACATTGGAGAGATAAATATGGTTGGAGCAAATGAAGGTGACACTCCATCAGAAGAGGAAAGCACTGATGATGAAAACTACGTGTTAGTTGAAATCGAAAAGGAAGTTACTGAGGACTTCCATAAGGAACAAGAAGCTTTGATCGAAGCAGTTCCTTTAGTTGCGTCGAAAGAAATCCAGGCTACTGAAGGCCAGGAAAACCAGAAACAAAATTTGACACAGGCTACTGAAGGTTTGAGGAAAAAGTTGGAGAAAGTACAGATCACACTGCCAGTTCTTCCTCAGAAGGAAATATGGGATACCTTGGGGGAGCCCAGCGGAAAGTTCGATTACATGGTGAAGTATTCCGCCCCAGAAAGCTCAAAGACCCGAATTGAAGACATCAAACCTACAGGTTGGGGAGATACTGATATCAAAGGAGAAGATGTGGATGTTAACATGGTAAATATGGAGCAACCTTGTTCTGAAATGGAAGAAATGGAAAGGTACTTAGAGAAAGAAAAATACAAGATGGAAGACAGTTATGCTAGGGATGCCAGTCTCAAAGATTACCTTATGCTTTGCCACAAAGAAAATGCTGCAATGATGTTGTGTCCCAGATGTAGCATCATTTGTAATCAGAGAATTGCTGCAGACTTTGAAAAAAGACAAAGGGCACGAACAGGCGTCAACTGGCGCCAGGATAACCAGTTGTTCAGATGCTACCCTAAGGCTGGAGAAAGTCTTATGGGGTTCTTAGTTCGTTGTCACAAGGGGGCAACCAAATGCCTAGTGTGTCCAAGATGTTCTGCAGTATATGATCAGAAAGTGGCTGAAACCTTCGAAACAGTCCCTTTCGCCCCATGTTGGAACCACAGAGAAACTGGTCAAATGGGCCAACGTTTCAAGAACAACTACACCCAACGGAGGCCTGACAGCCCTTATCCTAGAGGCGCTCGAAGGGTAACATTTAAAGTTCCTGCTGATGCACCAACGGACAAGTGGCTACAAGTTAGAGCTGACAATGGGAGAGACAAGTGGAGGAATAATGAACGGAATACACGCCATGCCATGACGTACAGAAGACAGTTTAATATGGCGAAAAGAGAAGAAGTAAGGTTGGAAAACTACAAGGGAAAGAACCCTATGTCCAGGTCACAATGGCGAAGGCAACAAAGAGTTCGAAAAGCTGAGAGAGAAGCTACACTAAACAAAGGAGTGGCTTCGAGCAAAGACAAGGAGGAATCAAGCACCAACAAACCTGCACCAAACAATCAACCTGGGGACCAACCTCCGGTTAGCAGGAGACTTTTCTTCGAAACAAAGCAAAACGAATCAAAGGAATATACGCCAGGTCCAGAGGAGGGTGAGGATATGCTGACTGAAAATTTTGAATCAGAAGGGGAATCTTCACTCAACATCAACTGCAATGTGGTATATGTGTTGCCTTGCGAATTTGGGCAAGAGACTGAAGTCGAAGAGCACGAAGAGGATGATGCAATAGACCTGACGAAACATAGGCCAGTATGCTATTATGTGATGGATAATGGGGTTGTCGAAGAGCAGAATGCCTTCTTCGAATACCCAGAACCAGCCATGCAAAATCACCTAAAGCCATTGTTCATTCGAGCAAAAGTTGGTACACATGGCGTAAACAAAGTCCTGGTGGATGGAGGCGCCGCAGTAAACTTGATGCCTCAATTCATGTTGAAGAAGTTAGGGATACAAGATGTTGACATAAAACCACACAATATGGTACTGTCAAACTATGAAGGTAAAGTAGGCCACACATTGGGGGTG